TTAATATTAAGAGAAAGTAGAATAAGAAGACGTTGTGAAAGATACAAGAAGACACTAAGTGTCTAAAACCCCCCAAAATATTAAAGCTGAGCCCAAAGAATAGTTTGTCTTTTGAACTCCTTGCTTAGCTAGACCATTTGCTAGGCTATTGGCAGCATAAAGTGGTGGCTAGTATACATGGTTTGGGGAACAAATGCTAGGATGCTAAAGTATCTGTTAGAGCATTATGAGCTTATTCTTGGTAGGCAATCCATGATATTGTTCTTGCTTTTCTTATTTGCATAAAGTGTGATCTTTGTTTTGGTAATAAAATTTGGTTTTGGAAAGATTTATGGGTGGGAAACACTCCTTTGGAATAGGGAAGATCCAAGCCCATACTTAATTCGACCCATATAGTCTAATTATCCAATTTCCTAGTCAAACTAGTCATGTGATTAGCCATACTAGTTTTTAATTGGAATTGGACCATCACACTCAAGTCATTTAAGCCACATGTTTAACTAGCCCATTAGACATGGATATTGTATGGAATAGGACCCACTGAGTCCTCACACTAATGCATATGGGTTCGGGCCATGTAGTTCTCTACATGGGCTGAATTCACTAGATTCACCTAGTGAACCTCTTACCCAATCCAATTAGGCTTAGAATAGGCCCAACACTTAAACATAAGTGGCCTAGTGAATCTCTTTACATTGCTCACAGGGAAGGACTTCTTCCATGACTGTGAAATGTAGGGCAAACTCTTTGCTTAGATGGATCTTAGGATTAAAACCTTTTGCAAATCCTTTTCTTAAAATAAACTATTTATAAATATAAATACCTTTTGTAGATTGACTTCAAAACATATTGAAGTCCACTGTTGACAATTTGAGATTTCCATCAAAGATAGTGTAAACCATGATATTCTCTTTGTCTGAAAAAGTTGCTGATCCTATCACAATGATCACCCACTCAAGTGATATTCTAAATTGCTCCAACATACCTAGGTATTTCATATTTGACCCTTAGATGATCTTCATTGGTTGGTACATCAAAAGCAACCTAGTCCATCACTTAGTGTGGTATGATTATCAAGTTTGTGTTTAAGTGCCACTTTCTAGTTTTGCCCATCTATCTCTAAGGTCTAGGGCATAACTAGAAATTGGTCCCACTTTAGTGTTTCAGTAAACACCTACTAATTGTACCTTAGGTCTAACCCTAGCAGTTGAGATAGGCTACTCTACACATTTGATAGATAATATCAGCCTTGGCATGATAAACTCTTCAAGTTTATCGAACGACTGACTAAGTACATCTAAACTAACATAATTCTCATAAATGTCCACTTTAAGGGGTAATCAGTGTTTTAAAAGCGCAAGGAGAGGCGTGCGCCTTTTTGAAGCAAGGCGCAAAAATACAAAAAAAAAAGCTAAAAAATAAAAAAATATCAGAAAATTAAAAAAAAAACATAATATTAATAAAAAATATAAACTAAAATTTTAAAGTAATGTTTTAAAAAACCTATTATCTAAAATTAAAATACATAA